TGTAGCAAGTGCATGATACATCTAAAAAGTCATCAATAATTTATCACCTTTGTCATCATCAACATCATTAATATTTATTAGTATTTGTCATCTATATTTTATTCTTCTTACATGATCTAAAAACCCAATTCCAGAATCTATTTTAATTAATTGATCTCCAATAGAATCTAAATTTAATTCAATTGAAATATTTGTTTACCTAAATCATACTCATTATGAAAAAAAAACCTCCGAGTTTGTATCGTTTATTATAGTTTGGTTTATATTCGTAAAAAAAATTAATATTGGCCCCTGAAAAATTGAAGGTTTCATAATGCCACAATTAATCCATACAATTATCGTTATTTATAATTTGTTCTTTACTTTTAAAAACCTAGACGAATCTCTTCTTTATCAAATAGTGTAAGTTGATTTTTATTTTTTATTTGCAGTTTACACGTTAATTTTGTTCTTCCTTCTTATTTTTCTTGGGAATCAGTCATGAGTTAAATTATTTTTGTTTTTTGAGGAGTATATGTTTTTTTGGATATCCTTTGATAAATGTTATATTTTTTATTTTTGTGATCATTGTTTTTAAATAAAGAAAGCAGGCAAATAAAAACAATTAAAAAAATTGTTAATGGAAGAACATTTAGCTAATAACTGTGCAAATGTGCCTGTTGAAGTCAAAAATTTTATCTGGAAATTGTATTGAATAGACATCATCTAGAACAGGGTTCATCAAATGATTCTAATTCTGTACATTCGTTTAATTCATCCAATACAAATAGAAAAGGACAAAAAAACCAAGCTGGTCTTAATCAATGACAAGATATGAGTCTTACTTTGATTCTGCTACCATTACTAGTCAAAAACAAAAATCAATTGATCAAGCATTGACACAGATGTTTGTTTGTTGTGGACTTTCATTTTCACTTGTAGAAAACCTTTTTTTTGTGGAGTTTGTCAATCAATTAAAACCTGGATATATATTATCTACCAGGCATAAATTAGCTAATGATTTTGTAAATGAGGAAGTGGCAAATGTAAATGTGAAAACTGATCTTGAAATTAGGAGACAAAATCATATGACTTTAGGTAAATTTATTATCTATTTACTTTATTTATTTATCCATAAAGGTTAACCATTTTTCTTCTTGATTTAACATTGGACAGATGGACCAAGACAAATAATCAATCAAAAATATCCCCAAATATATTAAATTTAAGATGCATCACTCATTCTATAAACCAAATGACTAAAGATATCGTTGATAAACCAAAAAACTTTAAATGGGGATATGATGTTCTTCATAACTGTTCAAAAATTATTTCATTTTTTAAGCATTCTCATCAAGCTAATTAAATTTTGAATGAAGCAATAAAAAAATATGAGATCTCTGGTGGGGGTTAAAGTCATACATAAAAACATGTTGGTCCTCAGCCTGGGATTGTTTATATTCTGTTAAACATTATACAATATTAAATAATGTGGCTTGAGAGTAAGACTCACTCTTTTGTTGTATAAATTATTTCAGATAACCCTTCTGTCATTACTAATAGAGAAGTTAATGAGTTGTTACGAGTTAGAAACTTTTTTGCTGATGTGGAAATTTTATGTGATATTCTGAAACCCATCAAAGAAGCAGTGATCTCATTACAAGCCAGCAATACAAATTTGGTCGAGTGTTTCATTAAGATGTGTTGTATTGGTGCCACACTCAAAAAATTATTGATTTAAAAAATGATTGTTATAACATTTACAATAAGAGGTTTGATGATTTTAGTGATTATGAAGGATACTTATTATCTTATTTTTTGCATCCATTGTATTCTGGTAAATAATTTAATTCATCAAGTTCAATTTAGTGTTTTTTCTTATTTTCTTATTTTCTTATTAACAAAAAAAAATAGGCAAAAGATTTGAAAATAAGGAATTCAAAAATATCACTGGTATTGCAGGAAAATTTGCAAAAAACTTTGGTTATGGTTTTGATTCAATTAATGAACTGCTTTTTCAAATACGTAAATATAAGATGAATGAAATCCGATATGAAAATATGCAGTATACACCATATGATACATCAATTAGTTGGTGTCCACTTGCGAAGATGATTTTGATCACTTACAGAAGCTAGCAATTAGGCTTTTTTCAGTCACACCTCACACAGCTAGCTCAGAAAGACTCTTTTCTGTTTTATGATGGTTTTATGGTCAGTGAAGAAGTAGGTTGGCAACCAAAATAGTTGAAAATTTGGCTAAAATTCACACATATTATGTCACCAATGCAAAAAAAGAATTCAATTATTATGGAAAAGATTTATCAGGAAAAGAAGTCACATCTAAATGCATTTTATCAACAATGAACTTGGGTGAAGGTTTTGAAGATGAAAATGATTTTTTAACTGATTATGATGAATATGAAAATACCAATTCGGATGATGATGATTTAAACATTGAATTGGATGACAATGTTACTACTTTAAAAATTGAAGAAATAATTGATCTTAATGATTCTATTTTTAATATAGACCAAAACAATGATAATATAAATGAAAACCAGGAAGTAAGCAGAAATGAATCAACAGAATATAATGTTGAAGAATTAGTTAGCCGATTTTTAACTGACTATGATAATATGTAAAAAAAATAACTTCCATGTATTTGGGCTTTTTAAAATGAACATAAAGTGCTTTTATTTCAATTTTTTGAATTTTGATTTTTAATTTTGAATTTAGATTTCAATTTTTTCAATTTTTTCAATTTTGATTTTATTTTGCCAAGGGTATTTCGATTTTGAAAACTTGTGATTTTTTCAAAAGTTTCGAATTTTATCAAATGACTTTCACTATCATGTATGATAAAGTAATAATATTTATTATTAATATTTGTCAGTATATCCATATCCATTCACCATATTATATGGTGCTCGGATAATTAATTGCATATATATATAACTATTAATAAAAACAAGTATTAATAGATAGATATAATAAGAACATTACATCTACCTGCAGTCTTTCTTAAATTTGTATATAAATGATGGCTTTTATTCATAATGGGGTAATAAATTTGTTTATCTGTAATTAAAAGCATGGTGGAAGTTTGATTTTATTGGATATAAAATGTGACAAAATAAAATTTAGGTTTTTACCAAAATTAGAAA